CTTCTTTGAACATTCGCATCCATTTCTGCACATTACGCTTAAAGAACTCCGTCCCCTCCATTTGTTGATTGAGCTGACAATGAGTTCGAGCAGCGGATTTTCCCTGTATAACGCCCCATTTGATAATTGCGCGTTGGTCCTGTTCGGTAATAATTTTTTTTTCAGTTTGTCAACATTTTCTGCTACAGCCATGATGTCGAAATCGGGTAGTGACGTAGCTGACGACACTCGCTTCTGATCAGAACACTGTCGATGGTGACAGCCTCTTTCCTAATCCCGCCATCCCTCTGGATGTCTGCGAACTTTTGAATGAGATGACCTAATATACTAAACCACCGTTTTTTACTGTCGTATTAAGAGGGCCACCACCCAGGTCTTCAGCACCCGTCCTGGGGTTAACGGAACTTCTCCCCAGTTGCTGACGTTCGCTTTGCGGCAAGCGGCAAATCTTCTCTAGCTGTCTCGCGGCTCCGAACTGCAGTAACCGTACTCGGCCCGCCCCTCGCCAATCGATAGGACGCAATATTTTTCATTGACTGCCTTCCTTTTCCGATTGATTTTCACTGCTTTTTCTCTTTCTTCTTCGTTCTTATGTTTATTGGACTTGACTGTTTGGAATGACCACTCCTCTATTATAGATGATCAAGGTCGCATTGGAATTGAAGGGAGCGGCCAGCGAACTCAAATAATTAAGGGATTCCCTAGCTCACAAATTGCACGCTCCAATCTTCCATCGCAATTCTGCCATAAGCGGCGGGTGCGGCGAGCGCGATGCCGCGTTCAGGGGAAAGATATCGGATCCCCCGTCCTGGTTATCTATATTGATATACATTTCTCACATTGAACCATAGTAGTAAAAAAAGTCCGGGATGGAAAATGCGGAGCATTCGTGCATCGGTATATGCGCACGGCAAATTGCGCGGCGAAATTCGCGGTGATTTTGATGACTTTAGCGAATTGAGGACTAAAGTTGAAGTAGAGTAGATTAAAAGGATGTTAGGCACCACAGCCGGTCAAATCGCCATGATTTCGCCGCTCAGTTTGCCGCACGCATCTCCGGACGCACCCAAAGGTATGGGTGGTTCGGACGAGTTTCTCCAAGCAGAAATTGCGGGCGGTGTCCGGAGATCAATTGAAGTGGAGGTATCAAGCAACAAACACCCCAAACATGATACCTGATAACAGATGGGTAATAGTTGCTGAGTAAATAGTTATATATGTGCTTACTTACTTGGGTACTCTGCATTCTCCAAGTCGAACGTTTTTCTTGTCGAATACCGCGATGTTTATTTGCAACTTTACTCGCTAGTGTTTACGCAGTGTTTTTGGATAATTTGGTCAGAATAATCTGTCATTTTATGTCGCTTCTTAGGTTTCGATTTATTCACTGAAAGACTATAAAAGAATGCTTGTTCCTGATCAAGTAAACCCGTGGTACGCTGCTCTCCTGACTGCTGGTGGAGTCATCGGTTACCTGAAAGCTGGTAGGTTGCCACTACTATTTCAGTTTTAGTTTGCATTTATTTAATGAATTTCAGCACCTGTTTGAGGTTGTCTCATGCTACTTATACAGTTGCTTTATTTTTTTGTCCTATACGTTTAAAACAGTATGGAGAAGAACTTAAGAAAACCCTAACCCAAAGTCCAAGTATCAGATTGGTTAGAAGTAGTCTGTAATTTTGGGTCCTTTCTCAGGTGTCGTTTTATTCACTTGAAGACTATCCAAGAAAGCCGAAAATTTCGCATTAGTTCGGATTTCTCCCAGGGTTTCCAAGTAAGTTTCTTGTAAAATATGCGGTCGTGATATTTTAACAATTCGTAGTGCGAACCCTCGAGTTGTTAGTAGAGATCTCATAATAGTGATGCTTCCAAATTCAGGAATCGCAATATTCCTTCGCGTACTAGTTAACAAGTATTATTTTGAGTTTATTTCATTTCTGTGACATATTGTATTGTTTTTGAAAGCAAACTTCGAATAGATAAGAATGAATACTGCGTTGTTTTGATACCGTATTGGTATTCCTTTTCAGGTTCCGTTCCATCACTGATTGCTGGTGCAGGCAGTGGTGCTATTGTGGCTGCTTTCACTTTCCTGGACTTGCCATATAAAACACTAGCTGTTGCTGGTGAGTCCTATCCATGTATTGGTCTTTCATTATTACAAGCGGGAAATAAAATGAGGCTATTCATTCAACCTACGCGCTACCACTAAACGTCCCCAGGAATAATCTTTTTGTATTAATGCAGCTCCCTTTCTCAAAAGCCTCACCTCTTCCCTTTTTTATTAAACCACGCAACAGCTACCTTCAAAGAGCCTTTTGCCCTATTCCAATTTCAGCTTCTCGACACATTAGTAACGGCACGCAAAAGGTTCCTAATCATAGCCTCCCAGAATCGAACAGCGCTTTTCAGAAAATGAAATACGCGGCCGCTCAAGAGAATTAGCACTCTTTAACCGCTATGAAGTAGTATAGCAACACTCGCATTTTGGCATTTCCTTCTTTCGTAACCATTTTATTTTTAAATGTTCAGAAACCTAGGTTGGCCTTTGATGTTTTGGAAGGTTTGGAGTAGCACGATTTCAACATATTTTATTCATCTCCCCATATCAGGAATTTGGAAACTCCTCTAATCATTGAACATTTGCTACATCTTGCGTAATCATTATGTTGTGCGAAAAGTTTCAAACTAGCTCATGTTGGTCCCACGGTTTTCTGGAAGCTTCAGTGGGTTGATGTAAGCGTTACACAAACGCATACAAGCATAATATGTCTGGCTACCTCTTCCCTGCCTAGTTTACTATAAGATGACCGTACTGTCTACACATATTCAACATGTATTTTATTTTACAAGTTCGGATCCTGCCACACCGCTGCAGAAACCCATTTGAATTTGCGTCGACATTCGGCTTTTGAGCCCCTTCTAAGCAGCTCCGTGCGCACCTTATTTCAAGGCTTCTCAGCCTGAAACAGAAAAGTCGGTGTTGAATCTCGATAAAGTCAACCAATCGCGATATCATGCAGTCTTCTGATAGGTTATGCAAATGCAAGTGAGTGGCGTCTTTTTATAGTCCTTCTATAGAAGCCTCCGGGAAAAACAGAGAAATCTGGACTGGTATAAATACATTATTTCCATTTATTTTCCGCACAGCTTAATATTATTGGCAATAGCAATTGAGAGCAGTTTTTCGATTTATTTTGTAGATTTGTTGAAGCTTATTGCAGGTGTTTCTGGTGTATTAACATACGTTATGGGTATGCGATTTGCTAACTCTCACAAAATTATGCCCGCTGGTGTAATAGCAGCAGCAAGGTAAGTTTCTTGGTGTCCATTGAAGAAGTTGCTAGGAGTAACTTGCTTTTTTCAGTGTATGCGCTCTAGTTGTTCAGCTAGTACATATGCATAGGACAAATAGCCTACAATGATACATATATGTATTTCATACAGGAAAGTTTGACTATATATTGAATGTAGACATTTTTTCTGAAATTCGTGTTTTTGAATACTGCTTGTCACTACTTCGACTTTGTAATATTTTGTTTTCATTGTAAAATAAAATAGAACTGTTTTTTACTCGTTTACTCGTTCGTTAAAGTTGTAATAATAGTCAAACTCAAAACCACTAGTAATATGTAACGTAAAACATCCAAACATAGATTGAAAGCTGCCATCAAGGTGTGGAGGACTGTCGGGTTTGGGAACCTTGCATTTCATGATAGTAGTCTAAATGCACTACTCTGTCGTTACCGCAAAAGCTAAGCTTACTACCTTTTGAGAGCAATTCCCAGACCTAGCTCTTGTGTGATAGTGGTAAATGTTCTCCGGAGCAACATCCTATCAAAGTATGGAGGTTGAGCGAGTAATGAAGACTTCTCTGGAACAGCATAATATCTGGGAAATGGGCATTTGGATCGGTCTATGTATGGCTGCTTCACAGCATCACTCAAAGCTGCTCTCATCTCACAGTTAGATGACGAAAAGAGTGGCTGATCAGCTGTCCTAGGTCTCGATATTTGGTCTTCGTTGTTATTGTTCATCAGAATACAATCTAAGAACATTTCCAGTTTGAGAAGGGATCAGTAGGGACGGTATAGTATCGCGTTCCTCCATCGGACAATAGACCTCATACGATTCCTCAGCGTAATTGCCGCGTGGGCATTGCCTGTATACACTCACTGTGAGATCCAGTGAGTGATAGATTTGGAGAGTTGTGATGTTCGAAAACGTTTATTTGAGAAAAGTCGTTTTCCAACGTAGCAAATCTGTCAGCGTAAATCATAGAGTTGGACGGAAAGAGTTTGCGTTATCCCTAATTATATCCAGGTCATATGGACATGGAGTACAGCCATAACGAAAGTACAGCCATTTCCATGAAGCAAAATCTAATCGTGGGAAAAAGTGCGCCAATATTCGGATTACAGTATCGATGAGTTAATGATTTTACTGGGTCGCTCGCCCCGCTCCTTTTAGCAAACTCGATCATAAAAGTGGAAGATGATTCCGATTGAAATTGTAGACCGATCTATTGAGAATCTCATTCTTGTGCTATTGATGTCATAAAGATAAGTGGTAGATGAAATGAGAATGTTAAGTAGTTCGGAGACATGACCAGAACAGACCAGTTCCAGGCTGATCCCTTTAGGATGGTAGATGAGTCACTGCTAAGGGGTAAAGGTCAAAGCCTTTGGACGTTGATCAATCCCTTCTGAGGGATGCGCTCCTGTATTCGACTTCCATTTAGAATCGTTGGTCTACTGGATATGTATTTGGCCTATGCACTTCCTGAAGACAAGAGACGGCGGATTATTTCAAATTCAACCGGAAGAAGTAGATAAAAGCGATATATACTGTAAAGTAGATTCTCGATGACTCTTTCAACGAATACATCGGACGAAAAATAAGGACGAACTAATACTTATTTGTCGATTAGGCGATGAATTGGGAAAAACATCGAAACCCATTGGGTCAGTGCCTGAACTAGAGTTATTGCCATAGCTGTAGCTGCATTCCGTTGATCTCAACCAAATAGGACAACAAACTGCAATTACTGCGAGATTCACATTAGACAGATTTCTTTCGTAATCCTTTATAGGTTAGGTGCCGGCTATGAGAAGACTGCTGAGGCTCTCAATTTGTGGCTCTGGGGGTTGTTTCAGATCGTTTTTAACAGATGTGTTAGGCTATTGCAATTGCAACGGATTGCAATAGTATACGTTATCCATCTTCATAAGGTACAATTTCTCCCTTGGATGGTCCTTGAGATGGTTGACAGCCTCCCATACGTACTTACCAACGGACCGTACATGATCCATTTGCTGAAAATGCGAGCTCAAGTAAAATGAACGCGTCCCTGTTTCAACGTGATGTTGATACGAAAGCAATAAATTAAATAAATGGGTTGTAGACCGCAACTCTATACGGGAAATCGCAATTTCCTTCGTCACCATCATTCCAGCATCAGAGGCTGAAGACTATATGAAAAAATCTCATTCACAGAAATACTTTGGTTGTCAGAAAACTTCGAGCCACTCCTCCAAATGCACTCTCATTGGCTTGCAGCCTACCAGATACTTTTTTTGTCCAGTAACACAAGTAAAGAGCACTAAAATGTTCTTCAGAACATACTCCAAAGTTCTAACCAAGGTTTCATACGAAAAGAACGCGGTTCAACGAATCCATCACCTTCTCCTCCAACGCATCAAGTTAGCCATTAGCTAGATTAGTGTTCAAAATATACAAATACAGAATTAATACTGGTGACGCCAACGCTGATGACTTTTATGGTTTGATGAAATTTTTCTTCTCCATTGAAGAATATCGCCCTCCTTCAGGATGGAAATGCCCTCAACTTTTTTTCGTGATTGTAAACAAAATCAGACTGAAGTTCATTTAAGCTTCTTCCTTAACTTCCCTATGCAATTTTGCTCTTTACGTAGTTCTGGCTACTGCTATTAGCGCACGATAAACCCTATCGGTTATCCTCCAAAGGGTCGGAAGATAGAGTAAATCTAGGCTTGAGTGGGTCTGTTAATTTAGTAATTCAGTAGTTAAAAAACGCTCCATAAGTTTTCAGTTTGGTGGTAAGATAACAACACGAAAGATTGTTGAGTGACACTACCTTCCAATTACTTCTTATGTACTTCCGACACTTGAGTAATTTCCGTTGCTGCAGTAAAAGATTGTTATTACAAAATAAATCACCTTTGTTTTTCAATATTCCTTTCGTCACAAACTCCATTAAGCAATCTGTTAAACATCTGACACAGGCAATTAACGCGAAACATGAAGGATGGTCTTTTTACATCGTCCAGAGATATTCTTATCAGAACAGGTCACTTTTCTCAAGGTTTTTCTTACCATGGGCAGTTTGTAGCTGCCGTCGCTCAACTGAGGGTTTTTAAGTGTAGCCGTGATGAAGGAGCGGGGTCTGAAAGTTGTTTCACCGTAAGTAGCAAGATGTTTCTGAGCAGCATCCACCAATTTTCGGACGCTTCGAGATGGAACTCATTGTCATTGTGAGTATAGTTAAGAGCAATCATTATATGCTTGAAATCCCACTTTTTCTCCGAAATATTGTTCGTTTATTCACTAAACTCTCTTACGGGTAACCCAGGACCACAGCCATTGTTGGATAGGCAAATTCACTTTCAACATCTTACAAATCTTTAGGGTCAATTCTATTAGANGGATAAAAGGATAAAGCCTCTTGGTGTTAATCAGTCCCGTCTGAGGATAGCGCCCTGCACTCGTCTTTTATACAGAATCTTAATGACGTATTGATTGCGTATTGGTCTATACAATGAATTGCAGTGACCAGCTGATGTACAAATCAGTGCTTTTATACTCCCAGACAAGTCTGGCACCAAGCAGCCGTCCCCGGAGGGATGGCAGGCCTAGTTAGCCTAGACGGGCTAACTATCGATCGATCCGGCCTTGAACCTGTGGCCATGCTCGTGTGATATTGCGCCACTTGCCTCTACACCACCTCCACCACAGGTTTATTAGTTAAAAAAAAATTGTTCTCTCTCTAGTTTCCGTTCACCTTGCATTTTATAGCCCTCATCGAAAACCGATCGCTTTAAATCGCACGTAACGCAGACTCAAACACCCCTAACACGTGGGAGAAAGGTGGTGGGCAACGTCACAGGTGATCGGATCCAGCGGGCTGATCGTATGCAAGAAAGGAAACGTGTTGGTGACACACAAACACAGACCAAATCATGTTAAACCCGTTCTGACGAGATAATCGGCATTTTACACTTCTTCCCCTCGTGGTCATAGTCCAAACGGAATCCCAGAGCGAATCCCACTCACATGGCGAATGTTGCGATAGAGTCTTTAAGCAGTAATCAGTCCCCTCTGAGGGTTGTGCCGTGCACTCGTTTTGCATTCACAATCGTAGTGGCGTATTGAATGCGTATGTGGCCTATACAATGAACTGCGGTGGCCTGTTGATGCTCAAGTCAGAGTTTTGATAGTGCGCCACATGCCACCACACGACCTTCGTCCATTAGTTATCGCCATACATTGATCAACTAAAATTCAATAAAAGGGTTACAGAAGATCCACATAAACCTTCACATATACGACACAATAGAAAGTTTTCAATGGAAATGTTCAGATGCACCCTCGCGCCACCATCGGGGCTTTCATCCTGGTTGGACATACAACCCGGGTTACTCTTTCCAAAACTCTCACGGTTTTGAGACTCGTTTTATCTGATGTTTCCAATCGAAGCCCTAGCTCTGCGTCCATAATAAAAATCCATTGCTGATACAAGAATTTATTGAAGTGAGTCTATTGGAACGGACGGAGGAGGTAGTAGTAGCAAAAGTCGCACTTCAACACACGCGTGGTCCAGGGACCGAATCCCGGGTCGATACTCACCCAGGCTACCCAGGTTTTCGACCCCTCCAGGGTCGGTTTATTAACAGCAACCTCGTTAGGGAGGATGAAAGCCTGACAAAGAATACAAAACCCCACCATTACTCTGAATGGAAAACGAATATGGGGCGCATCCCGAAGAGGGATTGATCAAAACTAAGAACTTTTCCCCATTAACAACAGTAGCCTAGAATAACATGTATTGATAATAATAGTAACGGTATATAACAGAAAGGGATTACAGCAGAAAAGGGCTACATAATGATTTTTCGACTCGATGTTTGAGAACTCTAAAGTAAAAAAGAGATTTAAACTTTTCTCGGCTTTGGGCCAAATGTGTAGGAGAGGTATGTATGCCCATGTGTTCGCAAGAAACTTTTGCCTCATTTACGTCAAACAACGAGATTTGCGTCATCTTCAAACATCAGAATCCTTTCCCCTAATAAAAATAAAATTTATTCCGCTATGTAATAGCTCATAAACAATTCGACGACATAAAATAATAAAATGAAATAAAATTGAAATATAAAATCAAAAAGAA